TGGAAGGAAACTTTTTGCAGACTGCAAGGCGGTGCCTGAGGCTGAGACAATGGGTAATCCTCTATCACCCTCTCAAAGATGCAGGGCACCATGGCTCCCTAAATCTCCTTAATCCCAGCATCTAGTGTCTCTTCATGCTGAGTATTAAGCTAGTTTGCGGTTATCTTAGTATACTTAGGATATACTGAGAGTGTAAAAAAAGCATGATCTGAGACTTTCCTTGACACATGCATCCACTGTTCCCCCTCGAGCCAAGGGAAGAGCCCTTCTGCTGACAATGTGCTCCCTTCCTCCCCTGACTTTGCTTAAGTAACTTCTATTCATTCTTTAAGAACCAATTTACACAACATTTCCTTGCGAAAGGACACCCCCAGGTCTTCAAGGGAGTCCCTCTCTGTTCCCACTTTACATATCTATCTACACTGCCATTACTACCTCATAGTAGAATCATTTGTGTTCTGTTTTTCAAACTAGACTTGGTGCTCCTGAGATCAGGAACTTAATCTCATTAGTCTCAGTGGCCAGTTTCTCAAAATATATAAGCCATTAGGAGATGCTCAAAAAATACTTTAAGAATGAGTGATTAATGAATGAGTGGATATGTCTGGTAGGTACAATTATCTTCTTATGAAGCGTAAGCTGGTGTTACCTGTTACCAGTTTCTTCCAGAGTCAGATCCCAGACCTCAATAACAGGTGCATTCAGTGTTTCTCAAAATTGAGTAAGTTACAGATCTTCATATAAGGAACCACTCTCATACTATTTTTAAAAAAATATTATGATGCCATAATATACACCAAAATGAAGTTCAGTATAAATGTTTTAGGCTCATAGGTCTTACACAATTACCACACCAAACAAAAAATGCAAACAAAATATAAAATCAATCAAATTCAAGTTCAAATAACTGAAGGATGATCTTTTGTTGAAACTAAAGGGTTGGTGTAGGCTCATTAGAGGAACACTAAAGATATGTGTAGTTCAATAACTGACTGGACTGAAATGATTTGGAGCTTCATGTACTATTGTCTGAATTATTATAATCAGTTGTTCCAAATACATTTACTTTTCCTATTCAAAAATAGTCATTTAACTTACCACTTTACAAAAGTAAAATAAATAATGTAATAAAGCTCCCCAAATTCACCACTGAAAAGAAAAACATATTATGCATTTACTGCTACTCTTAAATCTATTGAATTATATGTTGATATATTCAAACACTGAGTGTGAGTGACTCACCCTTTTCCAATGGAAACATTGTGGTAACCATGGTAACATAGGTTCTTAGGAGTCTGGCCCGTGTTTAGTACCATGTACCATATCATAACCAAAATTTCCCAAGCCATTTTCTCCATTTAAACAACTGTGATGTCTTTATTTGTAAAATGTCGTTAATTCTTTTGTCTTTAATTTAGGAAAAGTGACATAAAGAACAAAAGCATCAAAACCAAGGAGAGTATTTTAAGTTGGTCATACAGATTGTTAGAAATATGCTATTACTGTTTTATTTTGTTGTCATCAAACAGAAAACTCCACAAATCCAAAAATTCTCAAGTAATTCTTATTTTGAGGGATTGCCAGAATTTTTTTCTGTAAAATAGTAAATATGTTAGGCTTTGAAGTCATATCTCTGAGCATATACCCAACTCTGCTGTCACAGTATAAGCAGCCAGAGTCAGGGCACAAATAAGTGGGCATGGCTCTTTTCCCAATAAAACTTAATTTACAAAGACAGGTGGCAGCCAGGTTTGACCTGCGGGCTGTCGTTTGCCTATCCCTACTTAGCTCTGGGAATTTACCCATATACCTCCAAAGTTCCACAGGTTACAGTCTGAGAGACTCAGCCATGTGTTCGTTTTTTGTCCTTTCATTGCAATATTATCAATATTATCTTTGAGGATGCTTAAAATAAAGGAAGGATATTAAATAAGCAAATAATAGAAAGGAGAAGAAGGAGATTTGATGATCTTAATGCCTAAGATATTTTGGTGCTGAGGATTAAGGAGTAAAAACTCAGATATAGTCCCTGCTATTAGGGAGCTCACGGAGTAGTAGTGGAAATAGCTTTTAATAAAATAATCAAAGAAATAAAAGAAAAACTACAAGTTTGAAAAGGCAGGGCCTATGATTCTAAGAGTACACATCAAGGTTTCTTCAGTTACTCTTCACCAGATGTATAAGAAAGAGCAGACATTTGGTAATTTTTACTCTTTTGAAGGGAGGGAAAATAATTTTCAGAAAGGGAAAAAGAGTGAGAAAATCACCTAAAGTTGCTCTGAAAGGGTCATATAGGAGAAACAAAGTGCTTTTAAGGAACTTAAATAACACCAGTATTTGTGAAGACCGAGACAGGCAGACAGGGAGTGGGAAGAAGGGAGAGAGATTAGAGATATTGTGGAATGAGCTTGTCAAAGTAGCAAGATCCTAGATCATGCAAGGTTTTGTAGGTCATTAAGAAGTTTTTCTTTATTCTAAGAGCAGGTGTAGATCCAGGTGACTGACGTCAAATTTGCACTCTGACCAGACTCCAAAGGGTTACATTGAGGAGTCATGAGGTCAAATGTTAAATGTGCTAAGAGTGGGGAAACGAAGGATTAAGGTGGATTTGTAATTAGGATTGTGGAGTTGAGTCTGAGAGGTTGTGGGGGTTGTGATGTCTTCTGGAAGACTTTTAGGAGAAATTTGACAGAACTGGGAGATAGATTGGTTTTGGTGTTTCAAAAATAAATAATTAGGAATAAGTAAAAAGCATATGAGCCCTGATACACCCTGGTGTGAGGCTGTGGCAGAAACTGCTCATTCCCTCTGTCATGCCCACTGTCTCCTTTTTGTTACTAATAGAATCCTGATTTTAATGTGGGTGGCAACATGTTAAGACAAAAAATAGTCCTGATATCTCAGCCTCACTTGCAGATGGGAGACAGGTGGAGACATTAAATAACACCCAGGAAAATGAAATGGAAATAGAAGCCATTGGGTATAGTTTCTGGAAAAGATTAACTTGGCCATCATGTGCCCATTTGCCCTCTGATTTTCTCTTTCTTTCTGCCTGGAGGGTGTATAAAATGGACAGATCTCTAGCAGTTTCTTTAAAGTATAAAACCAACAGTGACACCTTCAGGACGAGAGACAGTGAACTAGAAAGACACTTGATCTTTCCTAACATGATGAAGCCAGCATACCACCCCTGCATATGATAGAGCTTCTTTGTGTGAGAGGAAAATAAATTCCAGCCTGTTAAAAATATTATCACTTGAGTTTTCTGTGACATGAGCCTGAACGAATCTCTAAACTGATACAGAAAATGTTCATTAAGAACACAAATTCATTGTTTCCATCAGAGACTGAGGGAGTAAGCTGGGATAGAGCCTAATACTTCAGATCTTCGAAGGTGCTCTAGGTGATTCTGATACAGGTGATGTTGATGGTTGAAGTCTGGCATTTGGGAACCATTGCCCCGTAGAACATTTCCTCTATCCTCCCCCACCTTTTTCACCAAACATGTGCATAAATAGAAATGCCCAATTTTCTCCACAAACACATTTCCAGTAATATTAAAATTTAATTAAGAAAGCTACATCAAACCATATGATCCAGTAATTCCATTACAGGATACTTACCCAAAGAAAAAGAAAACACTAATATGAAAAGATATGTGCATCTCTATGTTTACAGTAGCATTATATACAATGGCCAAGATGTAGAAGCCATCCAAGTATGCATCGATGATGAATGGGTAAAGAAGATGTGAGATCTATAGACATATAGCTAGAGATGACTATAATGGAATATTACTCAGCCATGAAAAAGAATAAAATCTGGCCACTTGCAACAACATGGATGGATCTAGAGGGTATAATGCTAAGCAAAATAATCAGTCAAAGAAAGACAAATACAATATGATTTCATTCACATTTGGAATTCACAAAACAAAACAAGTGAACACAGAAATAAATAAATAAATAACCAAACTTAACTATAGAGAACAAACTGGTAGTCACCAAAGGGGAGGTGGATGGGGGGATGGGTGAAATAGGCAAAGGGGATTAAGAGTACCCTTATGATGATGAGCGCTGAGTAATGTATAGAATTGTAGAATCACTATATTGTACACCTGAAACTAATATAACACTGTATGTTAATGATACTTGAATTATACTTGACAACTATATCCAACATTCATTTACTACTAGGAAGAGACATAAATGAAAACTGCTATGTGTTTGATGATAGAAGTACCCACTTTTTAAAAACAAAATTTCAGGGCAGTGGCAGTAGGGAACATGCATCTCTCACCCAAGTGGGAAGAACCACTTGTTCTGCCTTTATCTCATAAGTTCTCCTTTGATTCGTGGGGAGATTGAGGCTTGGAAATCACAGGACTAGTAAACGCAGAATGAGATTTGGAGTTTTGTTTCTATGGCTACACAATGTTTCCACTCCTCAGCTTTAAATTGGAAAATTTGGCTGAAAGAGTTCCAAGATCCTTTCTACTTCTTTTTTCTATACAGGAATTGGAGGGAGGTGATCATAATCTCACACATCTCAAGGGGCCATCTGGGTCACCAGAGGATTGCACATATGAGACCTTCTAATACAGAGAATTCCTTCCTCATCCTCTATAAGTGTCCAGAGCTTAGCTTCTTCCCTGATAAAATTAGAGCTTGGAGGGCCTTTCGGGCTTGTCATTCCAAGCCCTTCATTTCCAGTGAGGAAAGGGAAGGCTGCTATGCTGATGCTCTGCCCAAAACCATAGAACTGGGATTGGCAGATTTGAACCTGGCATTGTAGTTTCTCATTCTAAACTTCATACCCTTCGCCTTGGTACAAGGTGATTCCAAACAAACCATGAATTTGAGAGGGTCCGTCTTTCATCTTGCCCGCTCTTTATAGACTCTCCTTCCTGTGAAGACTTAACCACGAATGCTACCCACTGTGGGGCTTCAAAGGGGCAGCTTTGGCAGAGTTTGTGCAGAGGCTGCAGGTGCCTGGTGAACATTGTGTCCTGTGGCACAGATGTAAGTAGCAGAGTCTGCAGTCTGGGAAGCAATGATGGACAAAGAACTGCTTTTGATGGAGTTGTCTAGGGTGAACCGTAGCCTTCCGCTGTGTTTCTCTCTTTCATTTGAACGTATTAAAATCAGCTGGACAAAGCCTTGACCCGAGTCTTGTCTATACCACTGTAAGTTGCTTATCGAAGTTTTATAACTGCAGTTCATGGTGGCATTTTCACCCTCCTGGATGCTCAGGACCTGATGATGCTGTTCCTGCTGGCTGTTCACCGCTAGGCAAAAACAGAAGGCCAGACACCAAGAGTCAGTCATTGTACTTTCACTCTTTAGTATTTACATTTCTTTCCATAATTTTCTGGTACATTTTCAACCTAACAAGAAGAGTTTGCCCAAACTCAGTCTTGTGGGCTCTGAGCTTAGGTCGCCCTGTTCCTATAAATTTGGTCTCCCCCCTCCCCAGTTTCCATTACCAAGAGCCCCAACTTACTGGGCAGTTGAAGCCATAGTATCAGCAAAGACACTTCCAGGAGTTTCTCCATTCTTCTTCCTTATTGGGATCACAGAAGACTTGGCTCTATGGACTGAAATGCGGCCAGGATACTCATTCGAAAACATTGGCTGTTTCTATGGGGTATATTTATCTGTTCCTTCTGGATGCTGGAGTCTTACCTGACCAATCAGAAGCCAACCCAATCGTTTTCAATACACAAACTGATTTCAAACCTATTGAGTCTGCGGAGAGACACTGCCATCTTGTGATAGCAGCATCATATTGCTGATAGAATGTACTCTTTTTTTTTTTTTAAAGATTGTATTTATTTCTTTAACAGACAGAGATCACAAGCAGGCAGAGAGACAGAGAGGAGAGACAGAGATACAGAGAGACAGAGAGACAGAGCCCCACGTGGGGCTCGATCCCAGGACCCGGAGACCCCGAGACCATGACCCAAGCCGAAGGCCAAGGTGCCTGAGCCACCCAGGCACCCTGATAGAATGTACTCTTAAAAGGTAAAAAGGGCGAATCAGAAACCATTATAAAGCAGTGATGCCCACCTTCCTGCCGTGACGTCACTGTCCTCCCTCTATGCCTGTGGTCCAATCCTAATCTCTTCTCATAAAGACACCAGTCATACTGGCAGAGGGCCCACTCTAATGATTCCATTTTAACTAAATTACCTCTTTAATAACCCTACTCCCAATACAGTCACATTTTGAGTTACTAGGGGGCTAGGAACATACAAATTTGGGTGGGGAGATAATTCATCTCATAATAATGAGTATCTGATATTTCTGTTTCTATGGAAGCAATCAGTAGGATACAGGAAGAGAACCAGTTTTGCAATCAGGCCAGGGAGGTCAAGTTTAGATCTACCCATTCAGTAGTTGTTTATATCATTTGTGTCTGTACTCTCTTGATTATAAAATGTGGATGATGAGTAATAATAATATTGCTTTTTTAGAGTTCTGGAAATGATTGATGAGATAATAAAATACTATTTAGAGCAGAGCCTGACATTTACTAATGACTCAAAAATTATTGTTGTTACAAGAAAATGGTTCCTGATGCTGAGCAGTAAAAAAGAATGGCAAACACCCCCTACAGTATTTTCTAAATGGTTTCAAAAACTGACTTTAAGATGTTCTGTGTGTAAACTAGAGAGATGAGGAAGAGGGGAAGGAAGAAACATAAGGAAGACAGGAAAGAAAGGAAGAAGGGGAGAGGTTGTTGGCTGGAGATTAGAGAGTGCTAGGAGGACTTCTAGAAGAAAGTTTGTGTTGGGTGACTACCACAGCAAACCTGGGTGTTTATCACTATGAGACAAAGAAACAGTAAAGCTTTCTGAGCAAGGAACTGATGTAATTTAAGGAGTTTACATTTTAATCTGTCTGGTCTCTGCTACATACTTTTGAAAAAATTTGTGATGAAATTTTTTACTAGTGGTTAAAAGATGATCCCTGGCTCTAAGAAATTAAGTGACTCTTCTACCGCTTCACAAGAATCTAGTTCCATTATTATTGGTATCTATTTGGCTGTATACAGGAAAAGTATATTGAGAAGCAGGAAGAGGAAACAGAGGGGCACCCGGGTGGCTTAGTCAGTTAAACATCTGCCTTTGGCTCAGCTCACGATCCAGGGTCCTGGGATGGAACCCCACATTGGGGTTTCCACTCAAGGGGGAGTCTGCTTCTCTCTCTCCCTTTTTCCCTCCTCCCACTTATGATCTCTTTTTCAAATAAATAAAATCTTAAAAAAAAAAAAAAGGAAACGGAAACATTACTGACCTCTGGAAAGAACTGGGAGGTGAGCTAGCTGGGGTAAAAGGGAAACTTTTCATTGTAAATGTTAATGGAACACCAGAGCAATACATGAAAAAGCAGGATCATTTAGGGCTCAGACCCTTTGAGAATGAAGTTTGGGGTCACTTTTCAAGGCAAACAACCCAAATCCAGCAGGGTTATGGCTTTGGGCAGGGAAATGGAGCTGTGTCAACTGCAGCCCCATGACAAAATCTGGACTCCAAGAATGTGGTAACTTTCTCTATCTTCCCTTTGTTCTTATACGTGTGTGTTCTTCTGTATATGCTGTCATTTTCTTTTTTCTCCCTCCTTCTCACCACTATATATATATTGTCAGAGATCAACTTTGTGATTTAGTCTGTGCATAACAGCATATTCAATGGAATTTCCTCTGAATTTTTAGAAATGATTAATATAGCAAGAGAGCGCTAATGACTGTTGGGACTACAGGTCTCATTTTGGGGAAAGGTTAAGAACTTCTCTTGTTCAAAGGACAGTTTTAGCTTGCTAGATTGTAACATAGTCATTTCATTGTTGTTTAGAAGTTCAAATGTGCATGCAGAGGTACATATGAAAGATAAGTAACCATAGGAATGAAGTGTGCCAGTCATTGATTTATTGCCTTTCTTTCTTATTGCCAAATCCAAATTTCAGTGCTCCCTTTGCAATATTGGGCCCGCTCCATGGAACATTTCTCCTTCACCAGCTGGCATGATATCAAGCTATGCCAATAAGAGGAACGTGGAAGGGCACTGCAGGAGGGAGAAGCTTCTTTTCCTGGTGCTGGTATGTCTTCACATTTCTTGTTCCTGAAGTTCTTGTCCAGCCAGCCTGAGGGACATGCAGTGGGATTCACCTGCAGTAAGGTTCAGTGACAGCCGCACATCAGTTTCCTGACAAGATTGCTGAGTCCCCAGAGCAATCTTTGCTCCTTTGCTAGCTTCCTATAACTTTGTTGGAACCCTGGTAGGTGTTTTTCTGCTTACCAGCCTTTTTCTCTGGCACCTCAGTACACTTCTCCACCATTCTGCAAGCTGTAGCCACACACTCCCCAGCGAGATCAGAATCCTTGGAGAGTACGGTATCACAATATGTCACTTACTTGGGAACCCTGGCTTAATCCTAAGGTAAGAACTTCTCCCTACATATGCTATTTCTATGTTCTTTAGAGTTCTTTTTAATTATTTGTATTAATAATTACTGATTAGATTCGGATTACTGTGGGTTTCTTTTTTCTTCTGGTTGAGTTAGTAGGAGTCCATGAAGTTCATGACAGGAAAGGCATTCACATGCCATGAAACAGTATAGTACCTTCAAGGAACTATGCTTAGGTATAAGGTGATGAACATATGTGGGGTGGGATTGGGTGGCAGAGGAGTTGGAGAGGTGAGACCCAACCCACTGGAGAGTTGTCCTGGCCAAGAAAAAAAAAATTTTTTTTATGCTGTGCTATATAGTTTATCTCAGAAGTACTTTTTCCGGGTACTACTAGACAGAATAAACACACTTATATCTTTAAAACTAATTAAACAGAGTTGGTAATGAGAATTTCCTTGGACAAATTTTTGAGATTAATCTATAGCTAACTGACAACCAATTATATATATATAATGATATTATATCTAAGAGGTAAACTCAGTGTGAGTCTCCAGAGAAAGAATACCCCACTATGGCCATATAGAGAACTTATGAAGAGGGGCACCAGGGTGGCTCAGTCGGTTAAGTGGCAGACTCTTCATTTTGGCTCAGGTTATGATCTCATGGGCTGTGCGATCGAGCTCCCTGTTGGGCTCCATACTCAGCGTGGAGTCTGCTTGGTATTCTCTCTCTCTCTCCCTCTGCTCCTTTCCCTGCTCACGTGCACTCTCTCTCTCCCTCTCTCTAAAATAAATAAATCTTAAAAAAAAAAAAATTCTGAAGAAGTACTTTCTGTAACTCCTAAAGGGTTTGTGCCCTGCTTCCCTTATGAAACCAGTTACTGTGTCACTCAGAGCACAGTAATACGTGGCTGAGTCTTCCTCTTGAGCTGATTGTTTCTTCAGATGGAAAGATGTCTCATCTCGGTTAAGGTTGGCCACGAAGCCTTTGGTACTCTCTCCTGAGATGTGTTTCAGGAGTAACTGGAGGGCTTGTTTGGGATACTGGACATACCAGAAGAGTATGGGACTCCCAGAATACGAGTAGTTGCACTTGATCTGCACGAAGTCCCCTTCAAAGACGGAGATGTGGTCCTCAGGCTGGGTCACTGTCTGAGCTCCTGTTCCTCCTGTAACACCAATTTAACATCAGGGAAGTCTTGCAGACTGAGGAAAATATTCCTTTCAACTAATCTAAATCAGGAAGACCCCAGAAAGAGAATAAAAAGGCATTACACTCACCGAGTGTGAATATTGTCACCAACACTGAGAGGAGGGGGGCCTTCATGTCAGAGCTGCAGAGAAACAGGGGCTCTTTTCTGCAAACGGTTCAGCCCCATGGACACTGACAGAGTGGTAAGTGAGTTTACCGGTATGTAAAGCAAAAGCTCTTCTTCAAAGACCTGGTTGGTTTCTGGCTTTTGTGAAGTTCAATTTGTGTAACATCTTCCTCTAGAGGCAAAATCGGATACTGCAGATGTTCTTGGTCTTTCAGGAAGCCTTGAAATTCTCAGAATGAAGAGGCATTTTCCTCTACAGTTAATAAGACAAATTGGAATGCTTTACTAATTGAAAAAGCGTGCTACTATAAAGGTCCAGATAGATCAATGGGATGGAATTGAAAGTTCAAACATACACATTACTGATGGAAACTTAGTTACAACAAAAATGGGGAAAGGTAAGTTAAAAAAAATTAAATGTGCCTTGATAAATGGAGAGTCATTTAGAAATTAACAAACGAATGTGGACAGCTACCTTAATATCTGTGACAAAATAAATTTCAAGTGAGATAATATTTAACATTTTAAAATAAAATAAAAGATAAGCTATTTTTTAATAAATTTAGGATGGTCATAGTTTGTTTAAGCCTGTCAGAAAGCATAATAGAAAATATTGATAGATCACATTTCATAGAAATTTAAACTTCTGTACAGGTATGCTAATGAAATGTTTAAACATTATCAGATCAAGAGATTTTCCATCCATCATCATTGATTCTGACCTTCCCTACATCAGGAAGTGGCCCTTTAGAATTTAAGTTCTACAAGTTTTTTTTTAAAAACAGTTCATAACAATTATCATATGATCTCCTTGATAGGAAGAATTTGAGAGGCAGGGTAGGGGATTTGGGGTGTAGGGAAGGAAAAAATGAAACAAGATGGGATCAGGAGAGAGGCAAACCATAAGAGACTCTTAATCTCAGGAAACAAACTGAGGGTTGCTTGGGGGAAGGGGGTAGGGATGGGGTGGCTGGGTTATGGACATTGGGGAAGGTATGTGCTATGGTGAGTGCTGTGAAGTGTGTAAGCCTGATGATTCACAGACCTGTACCCCTTGGCAAATAATACATTATGTGTTAATAAAAATAAACACCCATTTAGCTTAGAAAGAAGGCAATTCTAGATAGATGATAGACTGAAAATGTCCCTGACTCCCTGTGCTTTGCCAAAGAGTGGTGACCAGCCAGGTATGCCAAGAGAGCTCAAGTGAAGAATCCTATGTGGATTCACATATAAATCTGGGGTCAGATATCAGGGAACTTGAGGATGAAGAGCAGAAAACTATGGAACACTGAGAGAGCTTGGCCTGCCAAGATCACTGGGCCTCTAAGAAGGAAGCTTTTCTCTTGAGAAAGCCTATCCTCTAGCCCCCAAATAGCTGAAAAGGAAGTAACAAGTAGGCCGAGTCTGTCCTTAATAAAGAGGAGTACAAGGAGATCAGAGAGCAAAAAGGTTTCCTTCTAGTTTTTCAGCAGGGTACTGACATTGCCCTGCTGATTGCTACATGTCTGACCATGGGCACAGAAACATCTAGGCTCATCATTCTCATATGATCACCTCCACATAGACTGTCCCCAGTAATCAGACATGAAAGAGGGGAGTAAAGAAAGGGAAAAGAAGCTTCAGAGAGAAATGAAGTCCTCCTCTGGGTCAAGTACAGCCTGAGAAAATGATCAGGGTCAGTGACCCAATTTCCTTAGCTGAAAATCAGGACACATAATCTGAAAAGTGATTGAGAATTCACTTATAAGAAATCTGTGTCATGGGGTGCCTGGGTGGCTCAGTGGGTTAAAGCCTCTGCCTTCAGCTCAGGTCATGATCTCAGGGTCCTGGGATCGAGCCCCACATTGGGCTCTCTGCTCGGCAGGGAGCCTTCTTCCCCCTCTCTCTCTGCCTGCCTCTCTGCCTGCTTGTGATCTCTGTCTCCCTGTCAAATAAATGAATAAAATCTTAAAAAAAAGAAAAAAGAAATCTGTGTCAAAGAAGGAATACATCGTTGAATGCATTGTTAATTTACTCAATCCCTTAAGGAAGTGAATATAATTAAATGTAATTAGGAGAATTCTGTAAATCTCAGACTTGTGGTCATCATGAACAAATAAAATGTCTTGAATAAGACTTTGGTTGACAGAAGGAAATTGAACGTGTATATGATGGTCACCCTGATCTCATTTTTATCTCCCTTCATCTCTTTTCCAACACTTTCCCCATATACCCTGCAGGTACACCTGACCAATTCTGTTCTGTGACTATGACATATAGGCCACATTTTGAAATGTCCTATTTCTTTCTCCCAATCTCTCTTCTCCTCACTCTCTTTTCTCCTCTCTCTCTACATATGCTCATTATTTTTCTCCCATTTCATCTTCTCATCTCCTTTTTTTCCCTGTTTTTCTAATTTCAGAAGAGGTACAACAGAAGGTAGAAATCTTTGGAATAATTTTGAAGTGAGGATAAAGGCTCATACTTTATAATTTTTAGTCATAAACATCAAAATGGAAATAAGTAGTGTAAAATGTTTTCTTCCGGAGTTTCCAGCTTTCCCTTTACTCTAGATGATGCTCAGTTCTGCTTGGAGTCCTCTCTGTCACACCCATCACAGCAGCAGACCGTTCTCACAGATGAATATATGGCAATCTCTTTGTCCTGAAAAGGTATGACTAGTCCAGATGCTCTCCCAACTGCTGCTAGCTCTCATTCAAATTTTCACTAACATCCAACTATCTCAGAACCAGAGGGAAAAAGTCGCTCTTTTAGAGTAATGCCTAGAGTGCCCCTACTGGTCGAAAACCAGGCTGGGGATTTTTTTTTTTTTTTTTTTAAGTGAACTGGTTTCTTCGTCAAAATGCCATTTAATGAAGGCTATTATCTTAAAATTCTTGTCAAATTGAACCTTCAGGGTTGCATGTAATTTCTCCAATCTATTTAAAAATAAGCCCACAGCAATTTATTGAAGGTCTTCTTAAACCAGATCTTGTGCTAGGTCTTAAGAAATCAAAAACTGAATGAAACATTGTCACTATTCTTAAGACACTGAGGTATAGCAGGAAAGACAAACATGTGAGTGTTTGTATCCCAAAATATCCCAAATAGCATCCCAGAAAAGTACAAAATGAACCCAGAAATAGGGAGACATTTCTTATAACAGAGGGCAGTTAGATAAAGATTTAGTAAGAACATGATCATTTTGTCCTTTTCCCAGAAAAGATAGAAAGAAATGTTATCAGTAGATTAAGTAGAGATATTATTTTGGGAGGAGACTAGAGATGTTTCCCAGAAGAAAATAAAAGAGGGGTGATAGGGTGCCTGGCTGGTTTGGTTGGAGGAGCATGTGATTCTTGATCTCTGGGTTGTAACTTTAAGCCCCACGGTGGATGTGGAGCTTACTTAAAAATAAAATCTTTGAAAAAAAGAGGAGGTGAACAGAGATGTAGAAAGAAGTTGGAGGACATGAAGTATAATTGCTTACTTATTACTAATTTCAAAATGAATTTCTGCTCTGTGAGGCTTAATTCCTGTGTGTACAAACTTTTATAACATTTTGGGGCAATTTTTTAAATCACATAAATCACATATAATTTAGAGTCATAATCGTGTATATAAAACATCTTAAACATATGAACTCTTTGATACAGCTGTTTCAGAGGAAATAAAAATATTCCCTGGTTTTGGATACCCCTATTAGAATTAATGTAATCTTTGTCATCGTGAGCTTTGGTCGTGGAGATCTATTTTCCTATGAACTTCGTTTATGTGGTTTGAAAGACTAGGAATCTTTGTTGAGTATGCAATTTTATATTATATCATGAATTAGTGTGGCTTCTTACAAAATACCTAAGAGTTTTTCAGCAGATATTACATTTGATACCCTTTTATGGGTTAGGAGCCTCAAATTTTTAATTCGAAAATCACTGGGATAACTTTCAAAAAACAATTATGACTGGGTGGCTTTTAGAATCTCAATATTGCTTTAAGAATCATGTAAATTAGGTTCACTGGCTTTCTGTTACACAAGATTGGAAATCTAGGTATTGTGATGTCTATTTTACTTTTAAAGTATGTCAGTGTCACACAGTTGGATATTTAGGTGCTAGCAGTTAAGCTTCAAATCTAGGTGGAGACTGAATTGCACTGATTAAAAATCTATGCTGTACACGCTGCCTTTGTTGAGAACGTACATGGCCCAGCTTGTCCGCTAACATCATAACCAAGTACTTCCGTTTTCCACCTGGAGATCAACACCTGAGGCAGTGCTAATTACTTTAATGAATGCTAGAAGTGATTTTTTTAAAACACAAATGCTCTTGCCTTTTCCACTTCAGAGCTCTGACACTTCAGGACATACTCAGAGTGGGAGTGGCGTGGGGAATTGGTGGAGGTGTGTCTCTCCTGGAGAAATTCATCAGAAGACCTCCATCTGGAACAAAGTCTATCTTAATGCAGCACAGCATTACTGCTGAAGCAACTACTCAAGAGTAAAGCATTTCCCAGAGCCCAGCCTGTCCTGCCCTATATTTCTTCACTGAGGAAGAGATCTGGGGAAACTCTCTCTTGAGGTCCTGAGTCACAAAAAGTCCCAGTGTCTCAGGAGGTTTGTGTTCAGCTCCCCCTGCAGTCCCAGACACTGTGTCACTCACAGCACAGAAGTACTCGGCAGTATCGCTCCCATGCGCTGAGTGTTTCCTCAGGTGGAAGGAGGATTCAGTCTTCCTAAATTCAGTCTCGAAACCTTTGATGTCTTTAACCAGGGTGTTCCCTGAAAAGTACCGGAGGAGAAGCTGGAGGCCTTGGTTGGGGTACTGCACGTACCAGTAGAGATAAGGAGTTCCACTATAGGAATAGTTGCACCTCAGCTCCATAGCAGCTTCTTCAGAGACAGTGACATGGGCATCAGGCTGGGTCACCGACTGAGCTCCGGTTCCTCCTGAAACGTCAATGCCAAGTCAGTGAGTCCAAGACAGACTTACCTGGTAAGAGAAGGTGTCTTTATTCTGCATCCAGTTAGAACATGGTCACTTTTGTGTAGGGAGGAAAGGAAAGGGGATGTTACTCACTTGGGGCAAAAATCACGTCAAGCACTGAGATGAGCAGCAGGAGCATGGCTGAGCAGTGGAGACACTGTGGGCTTCCTGCACAGGTGGGACAGTAGCCGAGATCACTGAGCCGTCAGAGCTACAGAAAGAGTGGGGAGGTGGGGCTGGACAAGTCCGTGGCTTTGACAAGTTTCAAAGACTGTAAGAAGGAGTCTTTCTCTTCTGGCCTCTTTTTGTCACGGTTTCTTCTCTGCACAACGTCAGCCAGCTGCAGGAAGGAGGGGCTGAGTGTCTGGTGAGGACCTGGAACCAGAAAAACGTCTCTTCTGTGCAGCATCACCCTCTGCCTCCACAGGCAGGACCAAGGATCTGAGAGAGCTAGCTGTCTTCTGTTCTCATTTCAGAGAGGTGATCATCAGAACTTCAACAGAAAGTGTTCCTTCCTCCCTGAATCTGTGATGACGTCACCTTCTGTAGTACATGGTATTAGTCCCAAAATAAAGGAGAAATGGGAGCTTTGTAAAAATAGAAGAGTAATTTACTTCACTGAGAAATTAGTCACAGAAGAGAATATTTTACTTTGGAGTATGGTTGAGAGGCTTTATATTACCTTTTAAAGCCATTCATCAGGCAGAAGGACTAAAATCAATTGCCTCAGTGGAGCTGAGCTTCATATGGCCTTGCGCTGCTGGATGATACTTAAAATTAGCCTGGAACATGTGACATTATCTAATCAGTGCAAACTTACAAAGGCAGTACTTTTCTTTGTCAGGTAGAAAGTTTGAAGAAGATTCCTTGGTTTCAGGTGAACATGTTTGATGTGTGTTTATGCTATGAGAGAGTAACCTGGGCACCCCATGTTTAAGCGGAGAAAGGGAGAGTCCTGTTCTAATTGTCAGACTGATAAATTTTGCCAAACGATGGATACCTCACACTAAAAAAAACAGAAAAGTGAGCAGAATTATAATTGTAAGGAAAATACGACATATAAATAAGTGATTCTAGAAGGAATTAAGGAAAGAGAAAAAATAGTGAATCTATATGAACTCAGTAAAGCTGGACGGAGTGCAGCCAGCATACTGGAAATGAGAGCAAATTCCAGGTTGCATCTTTTTATCAGTGACTATGGGAACAAAAATGAACAGAAATCTTAACTCCCCATTTCCAGATTTTCCCACACTTTAGACTACATAAACAGTGTCCTGTCTAATGGGCCACATCTTCAGCTTTACAGTAAATGTGACTTTTACATTCTCCCCCTGTAATTGTAACATTTACCACAAGGCCTCATTTCTATCAAGCCAGAAACATTTTTCCTGGACTTGGGCATAAGTTGTAGGGCAATTCCACAGGAGGTTTTTTTTTTTTTTTTTAAAGATTTTATTTATTTATTTGACAGAGAGAGATCACAAGTAGGCAGAGAGCCAGGCAGAGAGAGGGGGTAAGCAGACTCCCCGCTGAGCAGAGAGTCTGATGTTGGGCTCCATCTCAGGATGCTGAGATCCTGACCTGAGCCGAAGGCAGAGGCTTAACCCACTGAGCCACCCAAGCGCCCCCCAGAGGAGGGGTCTTTTGGCATAATCTTTGGTGTTATCAACTTCCTTCCCTCAACAACATTTTCTAAGACATCATCTTCAATACCATATGGTATTTTCATAATTGATCCATGCGGGTCTTTAATCACCATAACAAAACTCCTCAGTGTCTGGAACTTTTTTAGATACTTACTTGGCGATCCTTCTCAGGAAATCTGAAGTCATTCTGTGCTCCCATGCTCTACCTGTGGGTATAAGGCATTTTATGGCCATGGCTAATGCTTTTAATTCCTGTGTGCATCTAGAGAGCAAAGAGAATTTCTCTACCCTGCAGCTTAGGCTCTATATCAAGACAGTGCTGGGATCCTAGAGGGTTTGGGTACAGACAGCAGGTGCCAGGGAAGTACTGTGTGCTCACTGCACAGAGGTAGGTGGCTGAGTCGCTGGGCTGGGAGTCTCTGATGAGCAGGGAGACATATTGTTTTGCTCTATCAACGTGTCCCGAAAATCTTCCTTCCGTCTTGTTACCTTTGGAGTACATGGACATTAGCAACTCAGGGCCCTTCCCGGAATACTGTCTGTACCACATGAAGTACTGGGAAGCACTATCGCTGTAATTGCAGTTGAGAGAGGCAGCATCTCCCTCCCGAAGGCTCAGAGATCCGGGACTCTGCTCCACTCCCTTCTGTTGACTCCTCATCCCTATGAAAAAAGACAGGGGTCAGTCAAAGGATATTTGTTGGGTAGTGGTTGCTTACTCTCCAGAATTTAAAATGAATTTTCACAGGCCTCCTACCCCACCCCTCCTAATGGGGGAAATCATTCATGTTTCTACCCACAGGCCCAGAATAGATGAAAACTCCAAAATATTGGACTTTATATTCCCAGAGAGATGCCCCAAACTCACAGGTTAACTGAAGCCACAGGATCACTAGTAAAACTCTTGAGGACTTCATCGTTCTTTCTTCCCCAGGTTCACTGAGGATTCAGATTTTAAGCCCTAAAAAAATGAGTCTAGCTCAGACATTTCAAATTCTTCTGCTTTCCTACCAATTAGGAAAAAAGAGACTTTTTCACCATCCCTGCTACACCACCAAGCCCCTCCTCTCGACTCCCTCTCTCTCTCTCTCTCACTCACAAACACACACACTGAGGTTTCTTCACTCCCTGAGAAAACACTGCCATCTTGTGGACTCATGGTAGTGATCAAAGAAATGTTCAAAATGTAGATCCTTATTATATGAACTGATCTGCCACTTTAGTAAAATTAAAATTTTAAGAAGCACATGGTCCCAGTCAGTGTGTGTGGGGAGAGGGAGATATGTATGTGTTTTACATAAAATGGTAACACTTGTCTGAGCAAAAGCAATTATAGAAAACAGCCACTTTCCTGCACTGAAAAAGCTGTCATAGAGTATTCTGTTTTAGAAGCCCCATGAGCTTCGTGCGATTCAGGGAGGATTTTATATTGTGTACTCTTCTCCACATCAGGCCAGACACTTCCTATCTTATTCCCTCATCTCCAATTTTTAAAGAAATTTATTCTAAATCAAAAGAATCCTTTCAAGACAGTGGTCCCAAATCTGACCAAATAAACATGTTTCCAGCTCAAAACTTGGGCGATATTTTTTTTAGAAAGGCCAAGGGCTAGAGGAACTTGGGATTCTTCATACCATTTTGCACCAATGACACATGTGTGTCAAAATAGTGCTTACTATAGCTGCCATTGTTATTATTATTATTATTCCTATAGAGATGGATCTGACTTCAATATCTAAACTATAAATAAGACCTAGTGTACATGTTCATTTTTCTAATTCTTCTTATTTCCTTTCCTTGCATAAGGCTTCAGTATTTAGGGATTCATTTCCAAAAGTTACAGATCTGGTCTTGCACTCTATGCAGATCCATCCTACCCTAGCCAGCAAACCAGATTTATCAGAGGGCAATGTATGCCGGAAGCTTCTCTGGGGCTACAGAGAAACAAGCACAGACAACAGCTGTCCTTCCTATTCCACAGCCTGTCACGTGTCCTCACAGAAGCTGGTGGCTACGGATGAGCAGTGGCACAGTCCTCTTCCGTTCAGGAGCCATGTAATCATGCAATCAGTATCCAGACAAAAGGGACTGGGCAGGCTCTTCCCAAACTGTGGCAGAAATAGAATGAGGGAAAAGAGGCTAATATTGGAATCCCTTCTCTAACAGTACACTCCATTTGACAGAAACCACATAGTCACTTCTCAGTAAAGGTAAAAACCAAAGGAGATGGGACAGCCACAGAAGATAGCAACCATACATGGTCTTGGGAAATTTATGAACACCAAATACAAAGCCTTAAAAATAGAACATGGACCTGAAGCAGAGTCTTTATATGAAGCACCCCACCCTTTTTTAAGATTTGTCACAAAAATGAATATAAATTTCCAATAGACTTAATACTGTGGTGGCTGCAAAGCCATATCCGTGCTGGCAAAATGACAGACTCCACATAGCATCAGTGCTGTCCTGCCTGCAGAAGCTTCCGTGCCTAATGCTGTCTAAAGAATATATGGAACTCCTTCGGATGATGGAAGGACGGTGCTGAGAAATCAGTCAAAAAGGAAATCCACAGTCCCCTCTCTCATTTGATTTAACTAGTCTTCATTTTCGACACTAGTACATTTTTTAGATATGTCTTGTGAACCTCAAAGGACTGCAGAGCAGCCTCCATTCAAAGGGGATTTATCTCAGATTGAAAATGCTGTATAATTTTGTGTCCGTTTAAATTCACATATTTCAAATGTGCTTCAGGTCCACGTTCTGGGTACTGATGACATGGCAGTGCCATACATTGTTTGTATCTCCTCTTTTTTCCTGTATGATTTAAAAGTCAAGTACATAAACAATACAGTGATGTTAACGAGCACACAATGGGTTAAGATGAGTGTGTTTCCGTGCATATAACAATCTCCAGTTTTGTGGTAGTAGAAAAAGAGCAACAGCCCTGGCACCTGAGAAAGGAAAACTCATAGACCCTGAAAGGCCAGGAAGGGTGAGGGATGAATGCTATCTCTGTGTGCTAGATCCAGGACTGCCACCTGGCAAGACAACCATGTGGTCTGCTGGGGCCAAGCAACAGCTGCAGTTGGCAATTTGACCTCCTCTGGCTGGGCATCCTCTTGCACATTCTACGAAAACAGAAAAACTGAAATGACTATGGCCTGTCCTGAACTATTCTGCTGTGTCTGACACCATCAGTGGAAGCTTCTCAACATCGAGTCCTATCCCCACATGTGCACACAAATATAAATCAGCACAGCCTTTTTCCAATCTGACTGGTGCCAACATATATGCTTCTGACATCCAAGCAGTCTTGAGCTATGCCTTGTGAAGTGTTACAGAGTTTGCAAATACTCAGTAACAATGCTCATATAGCTTAACCAAAGTGATGGAATGCTGACTCTCATCAAGTTTAACAATAAATCCCTCACTGCGTTAACTTGTGATTTCTTGGGTTATATGTTGATGTCTGGGGAGAAAAGGGCCAGAGAACACTGTT